AACATCTTTTGGTGCCTGAGTATTTCTGAGAAAGACCTAGAACTGATATGTCCCAGTTAAAGCATACACATTTTTATAGTATCTGATAAATTATTCTTCCCAAAGATAGTTTACATCTATCAACTGTGTATGAGTGACCATTTTCCCACATTTTTGCCAATATAGTTGTTTGCAGTCTTTCTCATTTTCACTTAATATGACTACTGGGTGATAAATGGTGATTGCTCCCATTTCTAGTGATATTATCTTCCTTTGTGAATTGACTATATATTTTGCTTATTTTTCTATCATATTATTCATATTTTTTTATACTGATTTGTAGGATGGCCTCTATTTTTGAAGGACCAAATTAAGATTTGGAATTCTGTCTATAAAAGTGTTAATGCAAGTATTAGATGTTTGATAATTTTATTTTCTTTATGCCAGTGAGGCAGAAATAAAACAGTGTGAATGTAGTATTTGAAAAGATTTTACAGGTAATTCATTTTGAAAAGTAATCTTCTTGGAAAGGTATTTCCTAAAATGGTATAGTAGTGGTGGTGTTAAATTAGGAACTTTGATAAATTTCTGGTTTGTGCTGTGTTTGCTTGAACCATTTCACATTTTCATGCTTTTCTTTGTCACTAAAATAATAATTGCCACAATTTCTATTCTAATGTGGACAGCAGTTTTGAAGTAAATATAATGGACTTCAGGAAAAATGAAGAGAATATAGATGAATCATGAAAATATTGAGAGAGCTTGTGTTGAAACATGTAGATCAGTGTTATTTTCTTATGAACTGGATAAAAATACCATTTAAAATGATGTAATACTTGAAAACAGTGGCTGTGTTCAAGGCACTGTCACCAGTACTGGGAATACAAAGATGAATAAAACAATCTATATTGATCATAATCTATCAGAAGAGAGAGGCAAGATAGATTAGGTTCAGGTTATGCATCTTTGGTGGGAATATCATAGAAGTGAGGCTGTGTTCTTCTATTAAGATGGTAGCTACATTTGTGGTGAGCATAGCATAATGCCTGGAGAAGTTGAGCCACTGTGTTGTACACCTGAAGTGAACGGAACATTGTGTGTCAACTATAATCAAATAAAAAATTAAAAAGGCAGTGTACAGTTCTGATTTATCTTAATATTGATGGTGTTTACTTTCTTTGATCCTTAATTAAATTCACAAAGTTCCTCTTTCCCCCTTTGTCATTAATAATTATTTTGAGGGGAGTTATTTTGAGATGATATGAGAATCCTGTTGCTTATCAAAATTTAACTGATTATTTATATTGGTATGGACTCACAGATTCTTTTTATTAAATGGGTTTTAATCTATTACTGTTATTTATTTTGATGCTTAAATTGCCCCAGATTTCACCACTGGGTGCCTCTTCAAGCTGGTTTCTGTGTCCTTTTGACATGTTCCCATCATTCAGGTATTTCCCTTCTGGAAAACATGGCTCATCTTGACTTTCCTTGCCCTATTTGTGGAATCAGCCATTTCTTCAAGGAGCCCTGTTTCTTCTTGATAGAAAATGGTTTTTAGGAGCAAAGTTCTCTGTTCATTTTAATTGCGGTGCTGCTGCTCTCAGATCTTTTAATGAGCATATGTGTATACATACATATACATATTTGTAGCCATATTTATTTCTGTATCTACTTATACTGAAAACTATACCTCTAGTTCTTATCAAACACCACGGGATTAATTCTAATACTCTTCCTTTATATATCCTCCAGCAGTGAGAAAACTGGCTTTTATTATCCGTAATATGTTAACTTAATTAACCCCCTCCCCCATATCTTGCAAGGGCTGTTTCCTGGGTGTGTGCCCTCCTTATCCTGCTCCCACATCAACACACTACTCCAGATTGCCCTCCTGCATGGAAGCCCTATTTATCTCTTTGGGATCTGATACTTTCCTCTTGGGTTCTGACACCCTGCGTCAGGCAACCTCCCTGCTCAGGCTCCAACACCGTAAGCTGGTCTCCTTCTTCAGCCTCTTCCCCCCACCACTGATGCGCTCTTCCTTCTACTCAGACTCTAGCACCCTGTGCCTGACGTCTTCCCTACAAGTATGGTCTCCTCACCCTGCTATGGCTTTGATACCCTGAAACACTGCCATTCTTTCACTAGCCTCTTCATCACACAAATAGATACTTAATGTTATTGGGCTCTGACATCCCCCTATGCTATGGAGACTCCTGTCCGTCTTTTCCCCAAATGCAGATGTTTACCTTACTGTGCTTTACCTATGGATTTTAGACTGAACTACTGAGGAAGAGAAAACAACCGATTTGTTATTCCATCAATTGCTTCATGAAGAATATGCAGTAGGTTCTTTTATCAGTCTCTAATTACCCTCCATTAAGGAATTCGTAGTGTACCATGTAAACAGTGTGGCTAAGCATATAGCCCCAGTTCCCCCATCTGGATTCTCTGTGTCCATTGTTGCTTTGACTTAACTTCCTTTTCATCAGAATGTCTACTTCTTACTTAGGACCTTTATTAAGTCTTAGCCTTTACTTCAGTACTTAACTCAAAATGTTGTTTTAACTATTGAGTCTTTATCTGTTGATTTCTCTTAAAGGTTTTGCATTAACTAATAATTGGAAAAGTGTAAACTTTGTGATACTGCAATTTTCTGTCTTTGCAACCTGAACACCCTCTTTCTCATTCTCTTTGGCTGTGGGTTGTTACAGTAGTTAGTGGTAGAGATTTTGGATGAGATCTTTAGATCCTCTTGGTGGATAGATCACTCCCCCTTGGATTTGATTCAAAACAGATCACCTTTTTATATGGAAACCTGAATGCCAGGATACAACCCTCATGAAACATCCCCAGGAGTTAGTAGGTGATCTTTTCATCAGCAGTGGTGTGTTGATTACTATAAAATTGTAACAATAATATGAAATAGGCACGGATGTTACTTTGTAGCATATAAGCCATTATTTTTGGTTTTGAATATAAGACTTTTCAGTGTTTTCTTCCTTTTAAAATTTGTATTTATTTTTTTAGTTTATTTTTTAAGATTTTATTTATTTATTTGACACAGAGAGAGCAGGAGAGCATAAGCAGCAGGAACAGCAGAGGGAGAGGGAGAAGCAGGCCCCCCGATGAGCAGGGAACCTGATGCGGGGCTCCTTCCCAGGACCCTGGGATCATGACCTGAGCCGAAGGCAGACGCTTAACCGACTGAGCCACCCAGGCGCCCCTTATTTTTTTTTTTTTAGTTTAAAACAAAAAAGGAAGAAAGAAAGAAAGAGAAGCTCATGTTGTAAAGTTAGCCCCCAAATTTTAAGTTGCCAGTTGACATATTTTTCAAAGCTTTGAAAAGCATGAGAACATGTTTTTCTAGTTTTGAGATATAAATGACATATAATATTGTATTAGTTAGGGTGTACAACATGATTTGATATAAATATATATTGCAAAATGATTACCACAGTAACTGCCATCACTTCACATAGTTATAACTTTTTTTCTTATGATAAAAACTTTTAAAATCTATTCTCTTAGCAACTTTCAAATATGTAATACAGTATTGTTAACTACAGTCACCATGATGTACATTGTATCTCCAGAACTTACTGTCTTATAGATGGAAGTTTGTACCTTTTTACCATCTGCACTCATTTTCCCTACCCACCAACCTGGGGTCACTACCAAGCTGTTCACTATGAGAACATTTTTTACTCATTTTCTAAACTGTAGGAAAAAACAGTTACTGAAAAATGAAAACATTTAAACATTTTTTTCTGGTTCTTTTACCCTTAGGTTTCCCTATCACTATTACTAATAAACTTTTTGTTGTTGAGCTTTTCTTTTTTTTTTTTAAAGAGATGTTTAACTTGCCTCTGAATTGCTAACATTTCAACAATTTAGAAATATGAAACATTGTAATCTGGCAGTGTTGTCTAACGCAATTTTTAAACTTGTTTTGTGATCTCTGAAGACAGGACTCTGGTGAGTAAATAGAGAACATTTTTAGGAAGTTGACAAGCCAGCTGTACTGAATTTCAACTAGAAAGTCGTTCTCACGTATTCTTCCTGTTTTAAAATCTGTTTTCCTAGTTTTCCAGAAAATCACCTATGCTCTTTTGCCTTACATGATCATTAACTATGTAGCTCTCTTTGTGATTAAGGCTCGTTTTTGTTGTTGTTGTTTTGTTTTGTTTACCTTTTTCTGATTTATCACAAGATAATTTTGTTATAGGTAGATTGGGTTAGTCATGTTAATGCTGTATTAACATGAGGGATAATTTTTAACAGAGGGATAATTTTCTTGTTTCTTCGATCATAAAATAAGAACTTTTGTTCCTCACTTTTTACTCTTCAGTTCATCTAACTCTCTCTCAATACATCTAAATATTCATACTTGTCATGCTGAAATGAATATATATACAGAAACACATTCTTCACATGTCTGGTCACAATTTGACATGTAATTATTGTAATTCATCCTGAGCATCTGATAGGAGGAGATCTGCTTACTGTCAAAACTCTACTCAGAGTGAATCCAAAGTAGGAAGATTGTTTCCCCATGGAACAATGAGAAATACAGAGCTGATGGAGGTTAAGAAGGATTAATATAAATTAATATATAAATACGACATTTAGTGGCAGCTTCTGAGACAAGTGTGGATGAATTTGTCTAATGTAGATCATTAATACTTCTTATTGTTGAGATAAATATCTTTGATTAGATTTAGTAATTATGTCCCTCATATTTGGAGCCAGAGTATGGTAACTGAGCCCAAGTCTCTACTCATTCTTAGAATGGTGAAATCAGGACACTAAAAATGTGATATGTTCTCTTCCATTTTATATAGAAATGTGGATGTGCTTTGTTGCTGTTTGTTGTATATTTTTCATTCTTACTGAAGGAACTGGAATGGGGTTTAATGAATTTTCACTTTTATTAAATTCACCTTTTTTCTCCCTTAGACAATTTCCCTTGCAGTTTAATAAATCTCTCATTCTAAATTTAACTTTTGAACTCTTAGCCTTTAGATGCTGGTCTGGAGAGACTTCAGTAATGGATCAAAGGAAGAATGAGAGTATTGTTCCTAGTATCACTCAATTAGAAGATTTTCTTACAGAACACAATTCCAATGTTGTTTGGCTCCTTGTTGGTAAGTAGAATATATTTTCTTACACTTTATTGTTTTTTTTATGTATGGATTAACAACTGCCAAATTTTAAGCAGTAGTTAGCTGAAGTTGAAATGCTTACAGTACCATTGGTTTATTTCTTGGAAAAAAGGTTTTAATATGTTTCTATGAATATTTGTTCTGGCAAGTGCTCTGAAGGGCTCTTTTTCTTAGGCTTCCTCTTTGTCCGACTTAGGGGAGGTGGGAGGAGAAGAAAGACATTGCACTTAGCTTATCTTTCCTGTCTCAAGTCCACTCCTTCACTGTCCGCCCGCATCTCAACACATGCATATACACACACACACACACACACACAACACACAGAGTTTGTTTTATTTTAAAAATGATAAATCCCCGTGGTAAATATATTTTATAGCAAAATAGAGTGTATATGCCTAATTAATCTCATCTCTTTACTCACTCCTTACATACTTGACATGGAGCTCTGCCAGTAAAGATTTTTTTTTGTCTACTATTCCAGAAGCTTTCTAGGTTCATAGAAATAATAAAAAACAGTGTATAAATCAGTGGCAAAGAGAAGGGGGAAATATGAGTGAATGAATGACTATGAACAAATAATAGGGGGAAATACAAAATAATAATCAGGAAAGGAGAGAATACTGTAGGCTGTTACTGTCCAGGCAATTTTTGTGGAAGAACAGTATTTGATTTGAATTTCAGCATAACAATTAGAAAGGTAGAGGGGGAAATAAAAAGGGTAAGATGGGGTAAGAGGGAAAGAGAGTGTAATGGTATTTATTGAATATCTTCTGTGTGCCACATATCATTGGCATTTTGCATATGTTATCTCACTTAATGCTCAGAGCAAACTTATGAAGGCAGCAGACTTTTAACTTGGGGAATTGAGGCCCATAAGGATTAAATAACTTATACAGGTAACATAGCTGTTTTTTTCTGAGTGCATGCTTATGCTTCTTTCATGACACCACAGGATATGTGGTAAGGAAATGGCTGTAGAGATGAAGTGTGTAGAGAAGGAATTATTATTTGTGATTTGTATGTAGGATTGGATTACCATTTAAACTTTGAGTTCTATTTTTTTCTAATTGACAGAAGTGAGCCATTATAAATTATCATTGATTAAAGCCAAAAAAGTAAGATGAAATGCAGAACATTCATATGAAGTAGAATTGCATAAAAGCAGCATTGAAAATTCTCTTTTAGTTTAATTAAGGGTGTTTACTCTTGCTGTTTACTAAGTGGCCTTATGACATTGAAGGGGGTTGGGGAACATGATGCAGTGAAAAGGCCACAATTCTCAGGTTGTATAATACTGGAAGCATACTTTCTCAGCAGATACCTCTTGCCTTTCTGAATGGCCCACCATAACCTGCTCTTGACACAGTGATTTACAGTAAAAATTAGCACAAAATGTCTTTAAATTTAAAATGTAATGACATATTAAAATCACTCTGTTGTATACGTGAAACTAACGTAACATTATGTGTCAACTATCCTTTAGTAAAAAAAACCCAAAATACTTTTTACAATGAAAAAATAATGACATATCATCAAAATAACATTTCAAAAGAATTGTTCTAGAAATAATTTTTGTGGGCAAATCATAGCACTTACATCAGAGTTATCACTGTCAGTCTAAGCTACCCTGAGAAAATGTATTTTGACTCAGTGACTGCTTTGTTTTATCCACATTAAATAACTTTTTAAAAAAGTTAAAAACTTAATGTGATGTTGCTAAATGGTTGTACATGTTAAATTGTTTTACATTACTTTGTCCTAATTTAGAAAATAGTTAATTTTAAAATGATTAAGTAAAAGGAAATTTATTATAAAAAATGCTTTCTTCTTTTTTATATTTTGTATATTCATGAACTAGGTTCTTTTGGGAATATTATGAATCCTATAGGTGACTATACACTTCTCATGAAAAATTTGTCAAATTTGAAATGCCATTTACTGTAGCATATTCACTGGCATTCTTTAAAAGTGGGTTATTATCTTATCAATTACAGCAAAATAGTATAAAATGGCCTGTTTAATATAGATATGCCTTTAAGTAGGGCAAAATTCTCACTTCTTTCCATTTTTTTTAAAAAGCAGAAATTATTGATTAAAAACAAAACACTACCTTTTCTCTGATTTAAAAAATCATTGGTTTTCTTTCTCTTTAAATGACTGTAGCCTGTAGGAAGTAGCTTGGGAATGAGCTTTTAGCCTGGTAAAGATGGATATTCTTCAAAATATTCATAAATATGGGCTTTCTCTTTCCAGAACATGTTTATATGTTTAATAACAAAGAGTACAAAACAGTGAAAAAGGAAGTGTTTTTTTCTTTCTTTTTTTTTTTTTTTGGGTAATAATAATTTTTATTATTTTTTTTATTCTTATGTTAATCCCCATA